TAGAACGAAGAGTAAACAAATGAATATTTTTAATTGTGTTTGAACATACAAACAGATATAAGTGTTGAGCAACAATTTAATAATAGACAAGAGTGGTAAGCGAAAAAAAGTTTGAGAACAGCTCCTCTAATCTATCCACTGTTTGAGATAAAATTACCGTTATAGGAGGCTATGGTAAACTACAACTACATGTAATGTTTCTGTACTTTATAAAAAATACGATTCTGCTTGTTGAAAGTCCAAAGTGCACAAGGTTGACTGGTAAGCTTAAAAAAATAATGTTACTATTGATCAAAACACATTTTTGATTGGCAGATCGAGTATGTATGTATATGAATACAACACGAAAATGTAATTTTTCAAATGTATTCATTAACTTATGACAATATAATAATTTTTTAACAATTTTTAAACGCGAGATAGTATTGTATTACAAAATCATCGAGTCGAAAATCATTTGTATGAAAATAACTATATTATTCTTTAAACGGTCTAAATTTATTTTAACTGGATTTACATTCATTACTTTTCGTATAAAATTGTGTAGGTACTTTTTCTATACTTGATAGTATAACTAGAATTTATGGCTATAGATTATATTTCTTATCTTAAAGTCTTGTGGTATTTATTATCAATGTACAGAACACTGTCTAACTACGCTCCTTGAATTATCAAATGTACTTGGTTTTGCCCAGATTGGAATCCAATCTAATACAATGAAATCGTATTCACTAGATTCATTTATAATATATTGTGTACTTATATGTGTATGATACTTATACTGATACTGATATAATCACATAAATGACTCTGCGGGTTCAACATATTAATAATACTTAGATTATCCCCTTATCACACTTATTCTCATCCAATATTTATTATTTTGGTAGATATGCAACTCAAAATTTATAAAATGCTGTTTTCAACCAATTAACTGTTTCGGTTGTCATCAATACCTATATTTTATTTGCTTGTAGAAATCGTTGGTTAAAAATTCCAAATTCATTTTTATTTCACTACATCGGTGTTGCTGCTCGACTTAAAAATGTTCTCCATTACACCAACACCATCGTTGTCTGTCTAGCTAAACTTAAACTTAATTCTTTATACTTGTAGTTTTCACACACCCACGAGTTATTTTGGTCTCGTGTGTTGGCCTCAAACTATGTTTCCTTCGTTTGGTTGCTACTAAACCCCACCGGAATACTTTTTTAAGTCACCAACTTTTTATTTTCATTTTTCATTCCCTTTCATAATTCTATTTTTCTCATCTGACACTTCTCTCGATCTATCTTGTATTGTATTCCAATAATGTTCTCAGCCATTTGATATTTATTTTTTATATTCTTTTTATTATAATCACACACACACAAACACACACACACACACGCACGCACGTCGTTTCTATCGCTCCTAAGCTATTTTTCATTTACTGCATCAACTAAGATACAGAATATTTGTTTTTAGTCATGCCTCACTAATCTGCAATTTATGCTATATCTTCCCTTTATATAACCTTGTGTATTTATTTCTATATTTTCAATAAATTATTTTAAAGTTCTGCTTACTTCAATAATTTTGAAACAAATAATTTCACGATGTTATACAATTTTATATTATTATAAATATTAGTAAACTAAAGTTGTATGTAATAATTATATTTATAATTATCTAAATAATATAATTTAATAACTATTTTTACAATCGATTATTTACAAAAAGCATAAAATAGTATAAATATTATTAATTATTTTTAATTTATGTTTTGCAATGCACAAGGTATTAATATTACAATTATATAGTATTTTATGGTGTTTATTGTGTAAATCAATTATAACATCCAACTTATGTAATACCTATAATTTAAGTAACGTTTCATAATAAATTATTAAAAATTTTAAAATTTTAATTAATTTATTAATTGTTTCAAAATCTACCTTTTGATATTAAATGGCATGAATCATTGTAATTGTTAAGTATAATAGTTAATTATGATCAATTTTTAATAGACTAAACAAATGTAATTACATCCAAAACACCGTTTTTATAAATACTGCTAATTATAATATTTATAACTGTTTTGTTTTTATTGCAAGAGACATTATTTCAGTACCAGTAGGTCGATGCACTTAATATGAATTTATGGTAAATAACCGACACACTACACTTTAGTCAAGTGACTTAAAGAGTGTCAATTATTTTTGTATGGGGAGCAAAATGAATACATTTTATAATTTGTATCTATACCAGTACCACACTTCAATATACTTTAACGTTGTATAATATCATGCATATTTTGAATTATTATAAATCACTTAAAAACACGTAAGGATAACTTTGCTGATTGCCAATTTATAATAATAAACATGAGTAATTGGAATATTTATATTATATTAAATATATAACAGATACAAATTTGATAAACACAGTTTCAAATTATAATATAAATAACTGATTAAAAAATAAAAGTTATTAAAATCACTTACCGCTTTAAATGAGGCTATCAATAAATAAAAACCAAAACTAATTATGTTATAGTGTTGTTAAGATAATAATGTATTTTCTAAGGTAAAAAATATACATTTAATCTATATTTTTACTTGTATTTTCCCATCTTTTCGAAAAACCCGACGCATGTATCTAAATAATATATAATATTGTTTTTTTGTAACTAAAAAAAATACCATATTAAGCTAATTATTTTTCATCGATATATTAAGTACTATCCATAAAATATTATGTTGATTGTCTACGTTAACCACATTTTATCGCTTCATAACTGTTATTATTATTTTTGTACATCAGATACACGCTACAGTGGTACATCAATGTTATTAGTACATCCATATTATTATGGTACACACTCGTACAAAACGTATGCTTATAATATTATATTACCGTACGTGCAGGCAGAAGATACGGGAGAGGGTGCGTATTACTAATTCAAAAGGAAAATACTCAAATGCCCCAGTCGACACTCATAATAATATTATACCGTGTACAGCATATATTATAAACCAGTGCGGCGGACGTCCGGGTTATTATAATTATATTTTTTGTCGGGTAAATATCTACGTCAAGTGTTCGCTCGTCGCATTGTTATCACAGCGTAGAGATAACGGCACATGTATTTTTGGGAAATTACGAACACACACACACACACACACAAACATGAAATTAATTAGTCTCGGGGAGGCCCCTGCTGTATAGTGATTGCGTGTGCTCGTGTGAGCTGGACGGTGGTCCGTTTATTATTATGGTGCGGTGTGCGGGGCGAGGAGTGGCGGCGGCGGCGACGACGACGACAACGACGACGACGACGAAACGAAATCGATAATAACCCTTCAGACATACTGCGGTGTGGCGAAGACTACTCTCTCGGAAGACGACCCCGTTTACCCGAACTTCTCGCCAGTCACCACGTAGGTACCTATGCAATACACACACACACACACCACACACACACTCACATACACCCACCCACACCATTTGTCCAATCCTTTCGAGGACACTCGCCGCTACCATATGTACACGAAACGTTTTGTATTCAAAACGTGTCTAATATAATAATATTATACGTCGTATATGAAGGTACTCGCGACGTAGACAGCCAGTGTTGTAGACGAGCGGCGGTGTGGTTTTGTGGTTTTTCTCGTTTCAGACTCGCGCGTGTACTACCGTCATCGTATTTTCTTCTCTCTCTGGTGGTCGATTCAGACGGTAATAATAACAATAATAATAATAATAATAATAACAAGGAGTAGAAGAAAACTAGGACCGGAAATTCGTGTTCGCGTGTGTGAGTGGTTCGTCGGGTGCAGTCTTGCAATAATAAATGTAAATAAAACCAACGAACCGAAGAGCGTTGTGTGCGAGCCTGTAAAATTACTATTTCTCGCAAACTCGGATAAAGGTTAAAGGGTTTGTTAACGTTGTATAAGCGCGTGTTTGTCGTATTAATGGAAGGTTACTTTCAGGTTTATAATTTGCACGGAGAGGAGAATTATTGTGAGAGCAAGGTTTTCAAACGGTATTAGAATTTATGAGAAAGGCATTTTAGACATCGACGTTTCTTCCTCTATACACTGAGTGAATATAGTACCTGATTATACATATTTTGTGTACCAGGGCTGTTTACCTAGCCGACATTTCTACATAACCGCAAACGAAAATGACAGGTAACAGGTAATAGACGCTTGCAATTTGTTTCGCGTCAATCTGCCAATCTTACCATAATATTTTTTGGTGAATATTGTGTGGGTTTATTCGGGTCGCCTACAACAATCGATAGTTCTTGAACGAATGCACAATGTATACAAATAATGCGTGTGTATAATGTATATATATATATATGTGTGTGTGTGTAAATTATATACAAGAATGTAACCTTATCCATTTAAATTTAACGTCCTGGTACTGATCGTTATTCAATTTTGGTTTGTTATAAGATTTGCGCACGTTTCAAGAAGCCCATTTGTCTTCAACCACTGCAGGAATTTAACTATTAGAAGACAAATATGATATGTTATGTCATAATGACAAATATTTGTACAACAAAAATGCATAATAATATATGATGATATCTTTTTAAATTGAAAACTCAAATTGTATCGCTGAAAATTATGTTCTCCAACGTTGGGTTCGATGTGTTGAAATCTCACCGGAATCATTTGTAAAGTTTTGGGCGAAACTTAAATAGTTTAATTACTATGATATATACCTACTATTAACGCACCGCAATTCGTGCTGCCATTTAAAACGTAACTATAATTTATATTCGCGTACAAATCAAAGACGAATTAAGTTCGGCTGACCATTTAATTTCACACTTGGTGTTGGATTAGGTATTTGGATGGTTACTCGTTTATATGTGATGTTTAGATTGACGGAAATTTATGACATAACTCTTATACTACCCCAGCGAGTCTTAAAAATAAAAATAAAAATATTTTATATCATGGTAAACGAAAGATTGACAGGTCAATGAAATCTTTTTACAGAGCACTGCTGATGTTCACACCAAAGCGTCAAAAATACGTTTAAACTTTAAACTCGTCAACCAAGTTTACTCATGTAAAACGTGGCCGAGATAAAAGGTACTCACAAAATATAAATAATGACTATAAGCAATAGTTATTTCAATGATGTGTTATTACAACAACATTAACGTTTCAATTTCCGTATTTTTTATTTTTTTTTTCATTTAAAACGAATTTTCTAAAACTGAAATAAAAGAATAACTCTTATCTCAAAACGAATATTTATAATAGTTATTTTCGTACAGAGAGTACAATTTTTATTATATTTTAATTATTACATTGAACTATTTGGTTATCATAATATAAACTGCATGTAAATACCTTTTATTTACTTTCAAAGTGTAGAATTTAAGCATTTTTACTGCTCAAAAAATGTCATCGGAAAAAAAAGCACATCACAGTATAACCAATCGCCACTTGATTATTTACAAGAATCTTTTAATTTGAATATTGAACCAGCCATATATGGGTGCACAATAATTAACAATTAACTGAAATTATATACATTATACAAGTTCTCAAGAGCTGAAATTTCGCTACATATTTTAGTAGCTCCAGGTAAATATTTTAAAGGTAATAAATCCGAATATTCTGAAGAAAAAAAACATTGAAAAATGCAAAGACTCGCGTCACGACATACCTACTAAATTGTTCGTAAAACTTTTGGGGATTGTATCTTGGTATGCAGTATTTATATTATCTTTGGGTTTGGTTCTTTTCCCCTATATTCGTTCACGTAAAATAACTTAATAATATCACACACGTGCACACGTTTCGAAGTAACACAAGGTGCGTACTATTGAATGAATAAATGATAGCCACAGTCGTGACTGAATACTGCCCGCTGATGGAAAATCCATACACGATGCCCTGTAATATTACGATAATTTATGTAGTGGCGTACGATACATGAGAACACGCTGAAGTCGTTTACTTATAACTTACATATACCTACTTTGTAATGTTGATAATTCTAAACTCAAGAAAAAACCAATTTTTTCTGTATATTATAGTGAAAATATGATTACGACATTTGGGGAGCGTTGTTACGATATTGAGTGTTCTATAGAAAGCGTTTGATGACCTAACCGTAATCTAAGCACTTCCGGTTCCGGTACACCGGCTACTCAAATGCAGTCCGAACTGATCAAGCGACGTTTTTTTACCCAAAACGTGCCCCTGCAGTACCTTTGAAACTACGCATATATTGGTTATGGTTATAATAAGTTAATTTTATTCATCGAAAATTGGTTAGCTTAGTAAAACGATTGGGTATTTCTACTATCAGTATAATGTGGCTTAACTATAATAAGGTAGCTCCACATTTAATATTACATTTCAATTTGGGTGATAGAATCTATAAAGTTCAAAGTAGTGTATATAACAACTTCACAGTTCATAGAAAATAATATTCATCAAAATATAAATATCAAAAACTAAAAAATAAGTAATAACCTATATAAATGTAGTTAATATACATTGACTTTTACACAATATGTATACCCCTCTGGGTGTATTTATCACACTTTCTTGTATCTTTATAGGTGTGGAAATTGATTTATAATATTAATATCACTTTCAACGTCATTGGAAAATTGACCTTTGATAATATTGTTATCCACATACTTTAATATGCCAATCACTGTGGTATTTACATTATGTACAATATACATATAATAAAGGTATGTAGGTAGTGCTTATATTATAGGTTATGCACTGCAAAAATGATAATACCTATTATCGATTTTTTAATTCACTAATTTAGTATAACAGAGAATTCACGGATTCAAAAATTTAAAAACTGTGTGTGTAAACGAAATGCGCATTGCGTTTATTCGAATCTGCACATAAACGTTAGAACTATAATATAATTATTACGTGTTGACAAAGTTAACCGTTTATTATTATGACTCTGTGCTCCGTGGTGTGTAGTACAAAGTTGGTCGATGAATTTCAAACCAACTTGAAAGGCAGATGCAGGTTTTCATTAGCTCAAATGAATGTACCTCATATATTATTAATCGTGAACGTTTACACAATACGAATGTGACATTGGCAATTATTGGAAATTGTTAACAGGGCTCTTATACCATTTGAATTTAATAATCGAATACTGCAATCATAGACGGAAATAGAGTTTTAGATTTGGGGAGGGAGAACTGGAGGCCTTCTATACAATAATATTGAATAAGTTTAATAAAAAAATTAAGTATTATTTGAAGGAGCTTTTAACATTTTTTCAGGTACAGGGATTTAGCCTTTACCTATTCAGCATAATAATTCTAATAATATTTTATAAGTCATAAAACTTCTTAAAAATATCATTGAACTTAGGTACTGACCTATGTCTATAACCTATTTTCCTTATAACAGATAAATTTAAATAAAGAGATCTAAATAAATCTAATTATATAAAAGAGTGAATTAATAATAAATAAATTGTTAAACATTATTGTTGATTGTGTTACAATGTTGAGGTTTGGTGATATTTTGTTGTCTGTTAATCGTTTTAAATTTCTATAATTGAAATGTTTCGTATTCCGTATTCCCGTCATTCAGTTCGATTTTCAATCGTATTTTGATGTACATAACGTTTTTTAAGCCTCCGGTGTATGAAATTTTTAAACACAATATTATTGTAAACGCAAACAAGAGGCGTGAAAAGTATATCCTATGATGTAATTGCTCGTGAATGGATATAATATAATTGTATATTTCAACATAAAATAATTTCATAACAAACGAAGGAAAATTAAAAACGAATAAATAACTTATGTAAGGTGTTTCTAAACTTTTTTTAAAAAAATTAGTAATTATTTTTTCAAGCATTCTAAAATCGTAAAGTAGGTACCTACGTTTCTTTTTCGAAATGTAAGTTTAGATTGGTATTTTTATTATTATAGCTCTGCGCAGATCGATGAACTCGACCAAAGCACATTCAAACTTGAAAGTATATTATTGTAATGAATAAAAGTTTTTTATTTTACATGTTTTGAATTGCGTTATTGCTAAACTTATATATTATAGGTACCTATACCGGAAACTAAACTAGTAATACTATCTTGTTTGTGTGGACTTGCCGTAAAATAATTCTGTAGAGGATAAAGTTATCGTTAAAAAAATAAAAAAATAAATAAAAGAATTCAAAGAAATCCTATTATTGTGCGTATAATTGTATACGCGTATTACGGATAGCATTAAATAACATGTTTATACTTTTACAGAATAGTTTCTATACAACAATTTAGTTTGTATTGAGCATTGCAAACTATAATATTATTACTTATCTACTTGCTGGCTGGCTGCAGTTGCAATTATCGTAACGGATTTATGGTGACATTTCTGATACACAGTATAATACATTATATTGTGAAACATACAGCTGCATGAACTACAGTCTACAATGGTATATGTATATTAGTATGTAAAATTTTATATGAAATCATAAATACATAGTATGTGTTTTCGCATAATATACGGCTATAGATATAGTGTAAATTACGAGTAACTTCTAAAAAACAAATGTCAAAAACATTGTTGTGGTCTTTAAATTGATCGCTCAATGCGAAAAAACATTTAAAAAGGATTAGTCTGTCGAGCCCTTCGAGACTGAAAATAATAGATTTAACAGGATTACCAAAAGTAAAAATGTTATGAATTTTAAGCCACAACTCACATATTGTCGGTTGAACGAATCAATTTTTTTCAAAAATAAAAAAAATACATGATTTTTAATTGATCGATGGTTTGAGATTATGATTGAAGCGATGATTGTATTGATTTTACAAGAAATTCTACTGTTTATACATCTATAGATTAATTCATTGGTGTTTAACGACTACTCATTTACCACTTTTTCAGCAAGTTTGAGAAACGAAGTTAAGTTAATATAAAAAAACGTGAGATTAATCTTATAGTTATAAAAAAATGAATCACTGTTAGTTAAATGCAGTTTAACTATAGATTCTGAACTTATAGAGATGGTGGTATTGATTTTACAACAATAATTTGTTTTATTTTTTGTGTCTTTTTATTATAATTGCCACATATTATGTTGCTCTTATACGCATAAATTAAAATGTATTTAAAGTGCATATTGTCCAAGAATCACAAATATTTACAAATTATTTTGGATAGTTAAAAAAATGTAGACATATATTTATTTATGTACAGCTAAAGTTTGAAAATAATAAAAAGTTCATCGTTCTCTCTAAAACACAAAAATATATAAAATATTTATGCTCGTTTTTCTTTTTACACATTTGATGTTCAAATTGCGTTGACAAACTTGGTTATTCAAACGTATAATAACGATTTTAGTTATTTTGCTGTAGCCCAAAAATATTATTCATGGGAACTTGAAACTTTTACTTACCTATATTATATATTTTACTATACATAATGATATTTTAGAAATATTTAAACTAATATCAAGCTATTGCTTATTTTCACCGCGGACCTATATTCTCGCCGTTCTTCAGTAAGCCAGTAAAGACTCAAAAGTCTATAACAATAATATTATATGACATCAATATCTAGGTACTGTGACGCAGCATTGACACGGTCTGTTCTGATTAGTGGTCTTGGTAGTGAACGGAAGCGACACGATATTTATGTTTATTAAACGATTTACCAAGTCTCTCTGTTTAATGGTTATACTATATACATATATTGAAACAAGGGTTAAACACAGGCATACTATAATACTATAATATTATAATCACGAAAGATTAAAATCAATTATATATGTATATGTATAAGTTATACATGTCACAAAATGATGTGTCTTATCCAGAATAATAAGACACACCCGACCTGTAATTTGGAGGATCGAATGACGTGAAAAGAAAATCCAACACATGAATCGTCCGATATCTAACTGGCCCATGATGGCAGTCATGTGACACCTCCAGGATCTCCCCCCGTCATAGGTAGACGCGCAGGATACTGAATCAGTATCGGCTGTCGTGGACTGACAGTCGTAGAGAAAAATATTATATATATATATATATATTGGTCGGCGGTAGACGTTCGATAACAAACGACTACAATCCAGG